CGCATGAACTTAACCACTGCGCCACTGGGCTGGCCCTGTTGGTTTCTTAAATTATAGAATTTTGAAAATCCTAAGATATTTCTCTTGGTTTTTAACTTGGTTTTTAAAATACAGACAATAAATTATTATTAAAATTATTATTATTATTATTATTATTATTAGAAATAGTTTTTGTTGGAAGGTATACTTTAAAAAATAATCTGAAGGAGTTTCATCTGATTAGTAATTTAAAATAAAACCCACTGGTTTATTTGGGGGATAGATCACTGTTAAATATTATCCAAATTGTTTTAAATACTTGGCAGTAGAAATGAGTATCTGTGCAGAACTCAGAGAAATATTTTTTCCCTTTTTCATAGCATAATGTGCATTACTTAATGTGCATGAGTTAATACAATACCTAGATTAATCAAGTGTATTTCTGCTTAAAGTCCTGAAAAACTTCTAATATTGTTTAGTAGATATCACATTAGTACTTTTAAGCTTACCTCTAAGGCTTTATATTAGTGTCGTCCTAATGTTGTTTCCTCAGTCTTGTTTTACTTTATATCTTTAGGGAACATTATCTGCAGTGAATGTTCTTGTGCTGTACATTTAAAATGGTAATACATGGGAAAACAGTTTCTTGGCCATAGTTTCTGTAAACTTTCAAGAGTGGAAACGTTTTCACTAACTTGAGTAGAAAATTACAGTGGTAACAAATAAAATTAATATTTTTAAAATGCTAGACACAGAATTTATTCATTTTTTATGTTTATAAAATAGTATTAAATGATGTTTTTAGCAAAGTAAAATCATGACTCATGATAGTGAACACATGTCAAAGCTTTTCTATATCTCATTAATTGAGGGAACCACTAAGATATTATAGTCAGTTCAAAAGAGAACTGAAAGTACCACACATTTATAATCAAATAAGGAATGCTGAAATGAATTTACAAAAGAATGTAAATCTGAACAGTATCCCCAGGAATACAGTTGTATTCCACGGGGCACAGTCTGCATTTCTGTGGACAAGAATTACTTGCATTATTATCTGTCTTGCACAAGTTAATTTCTATCTCTACAGTCTTTGAAAATTTGTAAGATGCAGTTAAAGCAGTGCTTAGATGGAGATTATAACACTAAACGCTTATAATAGGAAAAAGCTTCAAATCAATAACTTAAGCTTTTGCCTTAAGATTAAAACTAGAAAGATAAGAGCAAATTAAACCCAAGGTAAGCAAAAAAGGAGATAATAAAAAGAAAACCTATGAAACCAAAGCTAGTTCTTGAGAAGATAAATAAAACAGATAGTGATCATGAAAAAAGAAGACACATATTACCAATATCAGGAATAAAAGAGTGACAGTACTACAGATCCTTAAGATATTTAAGGGATAATAAGAGAATATTATAAACAAAAGAAATAACCGGATTAGGGAGATGATGGTCAAAGGGTACAAACTTGCAGTTAAAAGGTGAATAAGTTCTGGAGACCTTACACAGCGTTGTGATTATGGTTAACAATCCTGTACCATATACTTCAAAACTGCTGAGACTAGATCTTAAATGTACTCACCACAAAATGAAATGATAATTATGTGATGTGATGGAAGTGTTAGCTAACACTACGGTGGTAATTGTATTGTGTTATGTAAATGTATGAAGTCATCACATAGTACACTTAAACTTAGTGTTATGTGTCATATCTCAATAAAAAAAAAATCCCTAAACAATTTAAAAAATATGTATTTTCTTCACAGCTGTTTGATCCCCCAACTCTAAGCTGTAGTTACCATGGTCTTCCTAAACTTCCTATATTAGATGACTACTTTCTTATCTGTAGAGTCCTTAAGTCCAAAAAAAAAAAAGAAAAAAACCTAAATAAATGGAGAGATGTACCACATTCATGGATCAGAAAACTAAATATTTTTGAGATGTCAATTCTTCCCAAATTGATCTAAAGATTCATTGTAATCCCAGTCAGAATTCTTCAGGCTTTTTACAGAAGGAAGAAATGACAAGCTTATTTTAAAATTTATGTGAAAATGCAAAGGTCTTAGAATAGCCAAAATTGGCAGATTTATTGGTTTCACTAATACTGATTTCAAGATTTATTATAAAGCTACTGTAATCAGTTTAGTCTGCTGTTGGCATAGACAGACATAGATAAGTAGAACGCAGTGAGAAGTCCAGAAGTAGATCCTACATATATGGTCAATTAATTTTTTGACAAAGGTGGCAAGGCAGTTCAGTGGGTGAAAGGGTAATCTTTTCATCAAATGGTGCTGAAACAATTGAATAGCCAACACAAATGTTCATGGCAGCTTTATTTGTAATAGCCCAAAACTAGAAACAACCCACATTTTAACTAACAGGTTAGTGGATAAATTGTGACGTCGCCATACAATGGAATACCACTCAGCAGTAAAGAGGAATGAGCTGTTGGTATATACAGCAAAGTGGCTGAATCTCAAAACAATTATGCTGAGTGAAAAAACCCAGACAAAAAAGAAGACGAACTGTGTGCTTCTGTTTATATAAAATCCTAGGAAGTGCAGACTAATTTATAGTGTCAGAAAACAGAGCATTAGTTGCCTTAGGATACAGAGGGAGGAAAGAATGGGTTACAATGGAATATGAGAAAACTTGTGGGAGGCTGATGGCTTCACAGGTATACATATGTCAAACTGATCAAATTTTATGTTAAATGTACAATTCCTTTTATGTCAATTATACTGCAGTGAAGCTGTAAAAAAAAGAGTTAAGAGCAAATAACATTGTACTGTATAGATTTGATTTTACGAAGTGTTATTTTAATAGAAGTTGAGGTTTGCTGTTAAGAAAAAATACTTAAGTGACATTTCCATTGTAAAAGACCAACTATTGGTTACTTCTGGTTACTTCTTTGTAACTAGAAGTATCTGTTAGCTTAAAGTTCACTCAAGACCTTTCTTGGTTACTCTTTCATCATTTAAATCATCTCACTAATGTTTTAAGGTTAAGGCTATTAGAGGGAAGCTTTAGTCTTTGTAATATGGAGGTATTCATATTACTACTCAGTGGTGATGTGTCAAAAAATAAGAAGAGGAGAATATTTGGAGAACAAAGAGAATTTTCATACTTTTATCTTACCATCGTTTTCCTTGTATCTGAAACATGGTGGGTGGCAGCTCACTGGTGGCTTAAAATTGGTTGCTGCCCGTGAGGAGCTTATAGTCCAAATATGAAAAGGAAAAGCTAAGTATAGTATATGCAAGAGGTGTTTCTAATGATTGTAGATGGGTGGCCCTTATAATTAGGAGTATAGTAGTTGTGGAAAGACATTTTAAGGAAGAAACTAGGAGAAAGGAAAAAAGAATGTATGACATCCAAAGAGTGAATGGGAATGAACAGAGATAAATGAGGTGATTATTGTTAGATGAGATGAATTGGGGTAGACATAGAAACAGGGAACAAGCAATTTTTGAATTAGATACATTAAGCAGTAGGGAACCAGTGAAGGGATTTGAGAAGGGCAGTGACCTAATCAGAGTGACAGGTGACACAGATTTTTCTTACTATGCCATTTTAAATTGGTTCTACAAGAAATAGGAAGCAGAGTCTACAAAGATGGAAGTTTCTGGTAGTCAAAGGATTATAATACAAACCCTAAACAAAAAGGAGGCATAAATTAAGAGAATGGTTTAGGAAAGAAAAGATATTTAAGTAATAAAAGCAACTTAAATGGGATTAATGGGGGTGAAAAGTCAAAGGCAACAAATATGATTTTATGCCTGGAAAACTGAAGAAACAAAGTAAAGAAGCATGATAAAACAGAAAGATCATGAATACTAAAGAGCCACTTCCTTTTTTTTGAACAATCGCTCAAACGCCACTTGCTTTTTTTTGAACAATCCCTCAAACGTGCTTGTCCTTAACCCTTTCTCCTAAGATAACATGTGTGAATGCAAACATAGAAATACTGGTAGTGGAAAACTCGGAATAACTTCATCCCAAAATAAGGGATTGTTTAAATAAAATGTGGCATATGCATAAAATAGGATAAGGAGTAGTTACGGGAAAGTATTTTCTTGAAGTTTTTGTGTAATTCAAAGCTAGTTTTCCCTTAGGAATGATTGTCAGATAAGGAGGGTGAATTCCAGGAGCAAGCTACCACTTCACTGTTGCCAGCATTTTCCCCCCATTTTTTACTCCTGCCAGGTTGTGAGTTCCATGAGGCCCAGGGGGTTTTGGATTTTTGTCTGTTTTGCTGAGTGATCTGTCCCCAGATCCAGGAAAGAGCTTGGCACACAGGAAACCTTCAGATTATAGGTGGATAAATTATCCTTGCCCAGTTATGCTATAATATTTGCAAACTTAGTTTGCCTGCTTTTTATGTTCTCATCTTACCACTAATATTTCGTAGGACAGTCACCTAACTTAACAGCATGGCATAGCCTTGTGGTTCTCTTTGTAGTATTTTATATCAAACTTCATTTGCAACATTTCAGGTTTTTTGAAGTCTTTTTTCAGCATTTGCACCGCTGAATGAATGCTTAGATGGCATTTTATAAATCGTAAAATATTTCTAAAGCATAGCATCTGTGAAAGTTACGAAACAGTCAGAAGAGTCACTTAGGGAAGTTTCAGTTATAGAAACAACAGTGACTGATAATGAGCTGCTATATGGCAACTTTGTAAACATAATTGACAGCTTATCCAGTCAGCTAGCTTTGAAGTTATGCAGTTCCTGGTGAATTTTATAAAGTTGAAACAATGACGTTACTTAACATTAGGTGAATGAGACTTTAACATCTTTGTTTTGTTTTGTTTTAGCCCTAATTTGTGGTATTTTGATTTGCATAAAATACTCCCATTCTTTACTGTGCACTCAATAAAAATAATACTGTAAAAGACTGCAAAATGACATGGGGAAGTGATCCACAATATAGTAAGTGAAAAAAGCAAAATACGAGTAGTGTGTATGAGTATATTCTAGTAGAGAAGAAGCAGACAATAATAGTGAATGAGTAATACAGAATGGTATTTGTGAAGATGTTAATTACCTGTGGAAAGTGCAATTATGAGTAGTTTTTTTCTTTGTATTTGACCAAAAGTTCTTCGGTATAATCAATTATTAGAAAAGGTAATGAGTAAAAAAAAGTTGAATGGTACAGTACAGCACAGTGGCCTGGATGGAATCACTCTACCAGCTCTTCCTAGAGTGTGAGCTTGGGTGCTGCACTTAACCTCTTTGTGCCTCAGGTTCCTCCTCTGTCAAGCAAATTCAATGAGATAATCCATGTAAAAGACTTCACACAGTACCTGGTTCATACTGTTAACTCTCATCATCCAGCAGTAAGGAAATAGTTAAGTGAATTGTGATATATCCACTTAATGGGCTATTATAATTAATTGATCACTAAAAATGATAATTATGGAAAAGATGTAATGACATAGATACTAATATTAAGTGAAGAAAATTAGGACACAAAGTTAAATATATAGCATTATTATGATTATATGTAAAACAAAGTCACTTTTGAGTAGAAAAACAAGAATAAGAAGAAAGAAGTTAAAAGTAAGTCAATTTTAGGATGACTACCCTACTTAACAGAGTAACCTTCCTCCTCACCCTGGAACTCATCCTGGAACTCCTGATTCTGCTGACTCTGCTCTTCTACCTGTTGGCACTTCCCAACATCCTATATCCTTTACTCATCTAATATTGTTGTCTTTCTGTCCCCTACTATACACTTTTTTGTCTGGCTTTTTCGTTAATACATCCCAAATGCCTACTAAAATTCCTGGCTTATAAAAGGCATTCAGTAAATACTTGTTGAATGAATGAATGGCTTCATTTTCTTGGATTTTTCTGTATTTTCTAATTTATTGAGGATGCTAAAAAGCATTTATGAAGCTTACTAATACTCAGCTAAAGGCATATTAACATATATGTGTGATACCATGCACGTTCGTCAGATTGACAGGTCTTAAGTGTAATCTTACCACATGTTGGTGAGGATGTGATGCAATGGGAACTTTCAAACATTGCTGCTTAGAGTATCAATTATACAACTGTTTTGGAAAGCAGCTTTGTACTAAGTATATATTTAAGTGCAGTGGCTTTTGTGTTTTTGATTTGACCTAAAATAAATACATTTTACATCATGACCTAGTACATAAATTATGTGTGTGCCTACATAAATAAGAAAAATTCCATGAAACCATGGGTGACACACTCTGGTATTTTCTATTCTATTTCTTTTTTTAAAAATTCTGATTATGACTTACTAAAGTGATTTTACAATTCACTGAGGCATGGCACAGTTTGAAAAATAATACCTTGGAAAAGTTTGGCACACATACACAAAATGTATAAAATTTTCATTGTAACCATGTTTATAATGATGAAGAATTGTAAATAACTTTGTCAAATGGAGAATTAAAATTTAAATTTTAAATTAAAAATACAATTTAAAAAATTGTATGGCATTCATTCAATAGAATATAATACAGCAATAAAAAAGTAAGAAATTATGGGACCGGCCCAGTGGCACAGCAGTTAAGTTTGCGCATTCTGCTTCAGCGGCCTGGGGTTCGCCAGTTCAGATCCTGGGTGCAGACCTACTCACCACTCATCAAGCCATGCTGAGGCAGTGTCCCACGTAGAAGAGCTACAACTCTACGACTGTGATACATAACTATGTACTGGGGCTTTGGGGAGAAAAAAGAAAAATAGGGAGATTGGCAACAGATGTTAGCGTAGGGCCAATCAAAAAAAAAAGTTAAGAAAC